AATTGTCGTCTAAATGACGCAAAAATTAAAATAACACTAACATCTCATTTTAACAGGTATATTTACTAAAGACATTTTTGTGTTTAACATTCTTTTTATAGATACAAGTATTTTAGTAAATGCTCTGTTTATAATAAACAGTATTTAAATAACATTTACCGGCCTGAATGTCCGAGGAATTATCATAGAAAATATTCGTCCTTTGACAGGATTCGAACCTGCATCCTATACGGAACCGTCATTTAGCTTGACGTGCCTAAACTCTCGAATCCTGTCAAAGGACGAATATTTTCTATGAAAATTTCTCGGACATTCAGGCCGGTAAGTGTTATTTAAATACTGTTTATTATAAACAGAGCATTTACTAAAATACTTGTATCGATAAAAATAATATTAAACATAAAAATGTCTTTTATAAATTGTCGAACTTAGTCCATTTCTTAAGATATATTTACCAAAATTACACTAAATTATCTTGAAATACTGAAGAGTAACTTTATTGAATAAAATCGTCATTGGCTTCAACCACAGCCTCCAGATGATTTCGGAATTTCTTCTTGTTTCAGTTGGTGAATGCTGCTATAACTCTTACCTTTAGTTCATCATTGGTATTACAAGGAGATTTCTTGGTTTCTCGCCCAACCGCGCCCCACCCATGATAATCAATGGGATTGCAGTTTGGGGAGTTAGGTGGTCGCAAAAAACTGTCTGACACCTATGACTGGGTTCTCCTCCTTGTATGGTATGATGCGGATTCCTTTTGCTAGACATCGGTTCTTCCAGCAGCCACCCTCTTGACTCATGGCATTACTACCTCCACAAGGCACGATGTAGGACTTCCTGTTGAGCCTGAGGCTCTGTGGAAAATGAATGAATGCATAACATCGCCATCACTAGTGAACCACTCCAAAAACATTCGTAATCACCATTAGACTCATCCAACTCTTTTTGAATCCTCTGCACTGTCCTCAGATTGACACCCAAACACTCTGAAATGTTCGTATCGGAGCTTCCGGCGCGAATGCCGAGCAGTACAACATACCGTTTGAAAATTTCTGGTGGAATAAATTGCTGTTCTTTGATGTTCTTTTTCTCACAGACGGTGCCCAGCTGACCATACTATGCTGTGCAGTCGAAAAAAACAAAAAAAAAAAAAAAAAAAAAAAACACAGACAATACGCATGCGCGAAATTAAAAATATAAAATAGCAACAATTTATCCATCGCACTCTGTATGTATTTTGATTGTAATAATAAAATTTTTATTATGTTTGGTTGAGAAGAATTAAGATTGTATAAAATAAAAGAAGTGACATGCGTGTACTCATCTACGGATGATACTCTCTGTATCAAATATGCTGATAGTTTAATGGTTAACGTTCCGGAATGCGTAATCAATAAGCCGAGTATGAATTCCGGTCGAGTGCCTCACATTCGGTTTTAACTCCAAAGAAATGTATGAACCATCTCCAGCTATGGGTTAAATAGCAAGGGTCCTCTAACATTTGTTGACAACCAATCTAGGAGAATGATGACCGTAAACTCAAAACGGTTTGGTGACCTAATGGACAAATAGAAGCATTGGCGTGTAATCAATCTTGAAATGGTGACTCGATAAAAAAAAAAAAATAAATAAAGACATTTATTCCCTCCCAGCAACCTGGACTACTGGTGGGGATGTGTCGGCTTGAAGGAATGCACAATGACAGGAATTTTCAAATCTCGAGAATTGTGCAATCTGCTGGAGGCGGAGATAGCGTTTACTTACTATGTTTTTTATCATATGCATAGGTGCATGTATTCCGTGTATGTTATACAGGATGCCTCAGAAATACATCCAACACATACCTCCCAGAAGTACCTCCCACATAATGGTAAGACATTAGCTACTTGGTGCGTCAGAATTATCTCCCACACATACCTCCCAAAAATGCCTCACACATAATGGTAAGACATTAACTACAGAATGCGGCAGAAATACCTCCCACATTTTAAACAGCCACTTGTATAGTTATAGTGGCTTTAGGGAAGTGGCAATTGTGTCTTCATTTAGCTAATCGCTTACCATTATGCTGATGGTATTTCTGGGAGATATTTCTCTCGCGCCCTGTATGACAAATTCAGGAATACATGAAGGATAAATATATATCTTTTACTAGCAGCATGGCCCGGCGTTGCCCGTGCTTGATTCAAAAATCGTACGACTCATACAGCAATCGCTATCACTTGACTTAAAATATTTTTGCCCTTCCTTGCCTTTAAAGGAGTGCCCTTTGCCGTGCTGATGTTGCTACATGCCTTACTTCTTGTCTATCTCACACTGCGAATTTTTTCTAAGTTCTATACTAAACATTAAATCTGTTACGAAAAAAGAACTAAACAAAATGAGCACAAAACGACCAGCTTTAAAAAAGGACTCATAACTGGAAAAACCGAATGAAAAAAGAATGTTAACAACAAATACTTTTTCACACCCAACCTAGTTCTGCGGAATCAGAATCAACGTTGAGTTTAAGCAAGCGAATGAGCCAATTGGAGTAAAGTGCCACGCAGATTTAAATTTTTCCCACTTGTGACGAATGCAGCTATCGATTTTTTTTTGCATGCTAACATGCTAGTTAACATTCGTGTCAGTCAGCTGTTGGCTCTCACGCTGGCCAATAGAATCTTCCTGCCTATTCGTGGCAACCAGCTATAAGCTCTCATTCTGGCCAGTAGAAAATGGCCGCAAACTACATGAAAACTGCCGTAGAAGCATGAAAAAATCGATTATTTCCACTATCGATAGGAGTTGGGAAATGCAACGTCGATCTTGGCCTTCCCGTTAACTTGGAGCATGTGCATGTAAATTTTGGTGCAAATCCGTCGAAAATTGCGACCGTGCATTCGTCACACACACACACACACACACACACACACACACACACACACACACACACACACATCCTGCCTTTTATAGATAGAGTTATGTGTTTTATCTTTAAGAAAATAATCTAAACGTGAGGTAGCAATTGTTTATTGGTTGAAAATTTTGACATTTTTCCAATACATATTTCTTATCATTAAAGAACAAATAGATATATAAATTTTTACTTATTTATTAAAGAAAAAAAACGATATAAAAATAACAAAGACATAGTAACTTCTTTTTCTTTTTTTTGTACCGTGTCCCTTCAGGGCGTTGGCGATTATGGCTCTTCACAATTTCCTGTACTTTGTAGCTCTTAATCTATGCTGTTATTTTGTTTTCTCTTCACACACACACACACACACACACACACACACACACACACACACACACACACACACACACACGCCCTGCCTTTTATAGACAGAGATACTATTGTTCACACCATAAAAATCCCAAGAGCTATTCGAGGTTGAGCGTTTCTGAAGGAGATTGCCGTAAGAGCGGTAAAGTAAGACGTGTATGTTATGTGGATAACTAACGTCTGACCCTTTGATTGTAGTGATCGCAAAAGCATCCCCCGGGCGCCTATTTCACAAAGTAACAGTTTATATGCATTTAATATTCCTGTTATATTTGGTTTGGTGCTTCTGCTATCTATTTAGAGAATCTTGATAAAATACAAAGCAGAATCTGCAATATCATTGGTCCTGACCTGGCATCTCGATTTCAGTCCCTTTCCTTCAGCCGTAGCGTAGCTTCCCTTTGCCTTTTCTATAAATAGTGTCATGATAATTGCTTTTGAGCTTTCCTCTATGGTACCTAGACTTTATGAATGTAAACGCATTACTAGACTCATCATTTTAGAGTTATAATGGCTGAATTTAACCGTAAGTTCTTCTGGCTTGGGGAAATCTCTCCTAGCTTCTTTGATATTGTAAATGCAATGTCAATCTGTATCATACGTCTTCTTGTTCTTCTATTGACCTCTCAGTCTAATCGTGATACACGCTTAGGCGATCATGTATCTTTCGAGGCAGATTATTTCCCGCAGTAGATTGCCATCCAAGGCTATAGAACCCGCAGTAGCCATGGAACCCTGTCTGTCCTATTTACCCATAGCTGGGGGGCGGTGAGATGAAGAGGATTCATATCTTTCCCAAGGGCATTAGTTCGTAAGTGAATGTAATGGATTCGACTAGATTTGAACTCGGCTCTCCGATTCCTCAACCACCGTGTCTCCTACTCGAGGTACATGACTGACAAGGCAGTTTTTTTCCCGCAGTAGGTTGCCATTTCTTTCTGAGGTAGACCAGTTACCATCCAAGGCTACAGAACCCGGTCTGTCCTGCTATTTTTACATTCATATTAGCACATAATTGAATGTAAAGAATTGAATGTAATGGATTCGACTGGAATTCGAACTCGGCTCTCCCATTTCTCAACCCGAGCCGATATCCATTACTCCACTCGAAGTAGCAGTTTTTTTTAATCATATTCTTTCATACTCAGTAAACCCTTGCATATTAATTGCTTTATTACTTTGTTTTGGGGTAAATGATTAAAAAAAATTCTTGGGAAGAAGTTGTTAAAATAGAACTTCCTCCTTACTAATGGAATACGAAAGGAATGAGAACGATTATTCGTTGTGTACGCAACATGATGGGTCTGAGATGTAAAGGTCGGAACTGATCTTGGAAAAGATTCAGTATCGATTAATGATTTAATTGACCGACGGGACGTTTCCTACTCACGCTAAACAGATATGATCATGAATAGACATCTTTTTTCTTAAGTTCCTGGGAATAAATAGAATGTATATCCTCATAAATCATCAACTTTTCGAGCACATTAATCAAAATAACACCTGTATTTGTTATGCAAGAGGAAATAAAAGAACTCTTAAGTGTATCACTTTTGCGATACACTTATTTAAACAGCGTTTTCAGATTCCTCATGTTACCATCAGAAACTATGAAATACACGATTGCTTATATCAGTGGCATATTTCCTGCGTTTATATGTTTTTAAAGCAGAATTAGAAAAACTTTGCTAGAAACAAAGAAAAGATTATTAATGTCTGTCCTATCTATATCTCGTTCGATCACCGAAGTTAAGCATCGTAGAGCCAGGTCAGTACTTAGATGGGGGACCGCTTGGGAACACCTGGTACTGTAAGCCCCCAAAGTCCAACCCTTACCTCACAGTCGGTGGGGGGTGTAAACGGTAGTGTCAGAGCTATGCCGCCCGGAACTTCGTTCCTGGTAGGGCCACCCAAGGCGGACAGGTCTGACACACACGCCCGCTAACAAGGGCTCTGGTGAAAATCCAAGGAGCGTCTGCATCGGCAACCGGCGGCTTCTGGTCGTTCCTGTCTCTGCGTCTGTGGGAACTCCGCGGCAAGCAAGAACGTTATCCGAGTAGGCCTGGGTACCCTACTTCTGTAATTTATCCCAAGAATCTTCTTCTCATAACAGGAAGAAGCCGGCTCAATCCGCCCAGGGTGAATGCCGCATCAGTACAGTCAGTATCAGTATCTATATAGCAGTGAATGCTGGACAATCTCCCCAAAGATGAAGCAGAGACATGAAGCAACAGAAATACGGTTACACAAAAGGATGAGGAGGATACGATGGACATAATATTTCTTTTATGCATTTTACTCCAAGCAAGGCGTGAGTGCCACTAGCACTCAAGGGGTTACAGAGAGTGAAAGTAAGAGTAAAGAAAGGTGTTTGAGGTAAGGATAAATAGAAGGACGTGGATCAAGATCAAGGCATCAGATAATGTCGATTGACATTACATTTGAATATGTGAAGATTATAGTTATCGGGGAAGCAAGTAAGAAGGAAGTTCCATTGTCGGGGAGTGCGAGAGAAGAATCGGTTGGAGGAGAAAACTGTCTCGCGAGTAAAAGGATGGGACCGAAATGCCAACCTAGTAGCACGCTTAAATTCATGAAGTCGGAGCACCAGTGAAAATAGCTTGTCAGAGCAGTTGCCATGAAAATATTTGTAGAAAAGACAGAGGGAAGCCACATCACGTCTGTGAGAAAGTGACTGGAGTCGAGATGCCAGGTCAGGACCTATCACATTGCATTGCATACATGTGAGCAACGACGAGGTTTTTAGAGAAACAAAAATGACACTTATACTTAACAAGGCTTAAGAACCACTCAACGTAGAAGCTTACGGTATGGTGTTGCATGAGCGACATAAAGTGAAGTCCCTAGGGCTATACATGAAAGACAACAGCTACTTCTATACTTGAAAAGGTCAGGCTTTAATTAGGGAATAACACTTCAGAATTCCGGCGGAGTAGATTTAGAAGGGTCTAGAATTTAGAAGGGGTTTTAAAGTAGATTTTAGAAGGATCCGGGAAGAAAATCCTATACCCGAAACAAGTGATGAACCTCTATCCTTGTTCAAAAGACTAGGGGCTACCTTTAAAGAAAGCTACTTTTCCCGATCGAAAACCATTAACAAAAGTGATTGAAACTAGATTGATTGATTTGTTTGTCTGACGGCATATCAACTACTCATCGGTCATTTAATGCCGAAATTAAAATTTTTGCGAGCTTTGAAGTAATAAAAATAAGATATGTTATTCTGCTTTCACAGCTGAATACGTGGTAATTGATACTCAGCTTTTATGCCTATACATGCTGGTGGGAATCTAATTACCAGAGGCGGTGATATGTATGTTTTATTTTGTAGGTTTATAAAGTTATATTTTGGAATACAGTTTGATTTAATAAATTGTGGGATATTATATGGATTAATGTCATGAAAGAATTGTTGTTTGTTGGTTGATTTTGTTTAGCGGCATATCAACACCTCTATGAATTATGTAATGCCGAAATCTAAATATTTTGAGCATAATTTTATGGTTTCAACTAAATATATTTTTAACAAAGTTTTATGGCAATTTTCTAAGCTACGCTTAAATGTGATACAAGGATAGATGTATGGGGTACCCAGTGAGGATCGAACTCACTATTCCGTCGTAAGTGATTTAGCGAGACAAGCTTGCTAACCATTACACAACGTCGAAGTGATCACGTGACGCACGAAGGAGGCTGTCGCCGCCCATCCAAAGTATAGGTATGAGAAGCTGCTACGAAGAAGTGGGGAGGGCAGTTCACGCCCTCTGAAGTATGGTGAGAAGTTTGGAGTGAGGAAAGGTTCCCAAAAATGGAAAAAAAGTGGAAAGTCCTAACCAGAGAGGTGGATATGTATTTAGAATTATCGCGGAAACCCCGACACCGACAGACCCACCCAGGTTTTGGTCAGCGTCCATATAAGCGAAGCCACAACGAGCAGAAATTAGTTCCAGTTCCAATTTCAGTTTGAGTTGGAGTTGCAGCGAAGAGTCAGTCTCCAGTTGAAGCCGCCTCGCAGATAGCTGACCAAGATTCACGCAAATTCCGAACTCCTCTTCAACCCAAGAACAATTATTTTGAAGAGCGACTTAGATCCAGACCACCACAATAATTTTTTTTTTTTTACTTTTGTCCAAAGAAACACCGAAACACCAATTTCTTAGAGAGCAAACAACTTGAAGCGTTAAAACTTGCCTAACTGAAAACGACGTGTCACAATCCATAGAACGGGTCGGGAGATAGATGCAGTCCTATGTATCGAACAACTAGACATAAAGTTTGTTACCTTTTTCTTTGATACTTTGAACTTTTTGAGTTTTTCATTTTATTTTCTTTTATGCATATTTGTGTGGTATCACCCCCGTTGAACTCAGTTTGCATTACGGCCCCGACCACTGTTTGATCTCGTCTGTCTAAGATCAATTCACAACGTGGGTAGGCAGACTGGGGATCAATGCAGTTACCTTGGTAACCAGGCGTTGGAAGCGAGTTGGGAACGACGAGGCTGATATCAAATCTAACCAGATTCCCACCCGAATCACCAAAAGGTTAGAACGTCACATTTGGGTGCCGCGACCGATACCAAGCCAGTTGGTCGTCACAGGACGAGACAACACGACTGACGCGACAGGCGGACGTCACGTTTGGAGCAGCGACACCCGAACGGAGCAGCGAGGAGCGAACAGCTGGCGCCGCGGCGAGGACGTCACAATTGGTGCTGTTTAGGGACGTCACAGTTGGTGCCGTAGTAGACCAGAATAGAACGTCACAGTTGGCGCTGCGACCAGGGGACGACGTCACATAGTAACAAACTCTGTAACTGCGTTGAAACCACATTCAGCCATGTAGGATGTTGAAAATGCAATGAAGCAAAGTTTTGATAGCTTTCCACAGCACTTTCAGAAATTTTCTTTTCTAGCCAATATTGTATAATTTTTGAAAATCTGAAAAAAATGGATACATGCCCACCGCCACCTGAGTATGTTCCCCGCTCTCCCGACAATGTAATAGACAGAAAACTCCCAGTGTCCCCTTTCAAAAGAACAGAACCCACAAGGGGGCGCTATCGGTTTAGACGAAGAACTACAAGCCAAATGTTGAAGAATTACAAAAAGGTGAGACGATTAGAAGTCCTACCAGGGTTCATTATTGGCGGCCACAATCCTAACAAGATCGGCAGATGACACAGTGTTGATAGCAGACACGGAAAGGAAACTAGAAAACTCCCTACAAAAGATAACAAAGGAAAGCAAAAAGAAACGACTAAATATAAACTACTAAAAAACATGGTTATGAGCAAAAGGATGAAACCAAAATACATGATATGGTAGCGAATGCTGAACAATCTCCTCAAGAATGAAGAAGAGACTTAAAGCAACAGAAATGTGGCTCTACAGAAAGATGCTGAAGATAACATGAACCGTGCGTATAAGAAACGACGTGCTTTTAGTAAAAATGAAAACAAAAAGGAGACTTATACTTAACATCAGAAAGAGGCAGTTAAAATTTCAGGGGCGCGTAATGAGGTAGGAGGGCTTTGAAAATTTGATACTCACAGGATAGATTGAGGGAAAGGTGGACAGATGAATGCAGCGCGTAAAATGGAGTGGAACAGGGTTTGAGAGAAATAAGAAAAAGACAAAACTAACGGGGACTGACAGTTGTGGAGGGCCATGATCTCTATGTCCTTTAGAAGAATAACAATAATAACACAATATAAACTACAAATTTTGTGCAAAGTACTCAACACCTTTATTCGAAAATTGGAAAATCTCTATATATAAAGTTGTAGCCTCTGTCTATCTTTTTCTTTGTTATTGAACTCCTTCTAGGATTTTGGTGATAAACCCCAATAAGCATATATATTCTGAAACTACATTATATATATTTCAATTTGATCAAAGGGGGCCCCCGGGTGCGGGTGTATGTGGGGGGCACTCCCCAATGAAAATCTTTTTTCTCTTTGATTTAAATTAAATTTAAATTTGAACAAGAGAATAACTCATATCTAAAATATTGAAAGAGAAAGCCAAAAGTTGTAGAACACATCGGCAACATCAAAACGAGACAATATGGACGTTAAGTTGAGAAAGAAATCACCAATCAGTGGGTAGTGCCTTACAATTTGTCGTGACAATTCAACGGCCATATCAATGTTGAAATCTGCTCATCAATTCAATCAATCAAGTATTATATCAAATACATAGCAAAGGTGTCAGATTAAGCCGTTTTTGAAGACCGCCCCAGTGAAATTTTTACCTTTGATTTAAATTAAATTTTATCCAAAATATAGATGGAGAAAGCCAGAAGGTTGAGATTACATCGGCAAGATCATTGAGTAATACTGAAATGCATTATTTTTTCTCCACAAATTATAACAATGATTTAAAATCAATCATCATTTTCTATAATTCGGCTTGTCCAATATAAAATTAAACAGACAGATCTTGTCCACAAGAAGCTATGTTTTTTTTTTATTCATTGCATTTCAAATTAAAGAAGTTTCAACTCGTTAATCACAAAGTATTTTTATTACGTATATAAATTGTTATCAAATCACCATATGGCTATCATTCATTGACGTGTAACTGTATATGTCGTATAAATATTAATTTAAAATGCATATCGGATTTTAACATTGACACATTGAGGTTTAATTATGTGCTTCCACTTCTTAAGTTCGTCTGTAATAGAGAATTTCCTCATTAGAAATGGCAAGTAGACTTTGCGACTCTTAATCGCCTCATCTATAATTTCAGCTGAAACACTATATCCTCACCTGATCATAAAGATATTAAG